CAGAAAGCAAAGTGGCATCCAGGATTTAACAGGAAAGATTTTTACCATGCAAGAAATGCCACATTTTCAAGCTAGGTTCAGACAGGGGAGGGTAACTAGAGATATGTACAAAAAGAATTTCAAAAGAAAATCAACTGTGCTTTACAGATTAGTTCAAGGTCTCTAACTGTGCAGATCATGAAAAGTTATGGATTACTCGAAACAAAGGGAGTGTGCCACAATGCTTGATTGCTCTTGTGTATTCTATACTCTAGGACAGAATATGAAGAATCAAAATAGTTTCCAACTGGCAAAAGTGTTAGACAAGCTGCTTTTTATTTTTTTTGTGTGTGTTCAGTTTATATGTAGAACACATACAGAAAGCTGGATTAGATCAGATGGAGGAAGAGAGAAGATTTGTGGAAGAACCATCAACAATTTAAGATATTCAGTTGTGTTACTGGCAGATGATAACAAGGACTTGAAACAATTGCTGAGAAAGGCTAAAGAAGCAAGTGTCCGATCAGGGATATAGTTGAGCATTAAGAAGAAAGAAATGATAACTATGGAAGAATTACATAATTTAAGTTGACAAATAAGAGACTTAAATAGTAAAGAGATTTTCTATACCACAGTTCTATACCATCAATCCAAATACAGATTGCAGCCAAAACAAAATAATAAAATAAAAAGGGAAATTTAAAAAAAAGACTGAGCCTTTGGAACTGGAAAGAACTAGAAAATATCCTGAAATGTCAGGATGTAATGATAGAGACCAAGAACAAGATCATCTATACTATGACATTCCTGCTTGTTACTGATGGATGTGAAGATTGGATAATTAAGAAAGATGAAACAACAATGACATAAAATCAAATGTGATATTGTAGGAGAGCTTTATGGATTTTATGTACAGTTAAAAAGAAAAAAAGGTACAAATCAAATGAAGACTGATCTTTCATTGATGGGAAAGACTAAACTGAAGCTATAGTATTTAGACATATCATGAGAAGATGAGAGTCACTGGACAAGACAATAATGCTTAGAAAAGTGGAAAGCAGGGAGAAACACAGAACACCTTTCATGAGATGGATTGACTCAGTAAAGGAAGACATAGCCTTCAGTTTGCAAGGCCTGAGCAAGGATGTAAATGGCAAGGCCTTTTGGAAGAAATTAGTTTAGAGGGTCATCATAAGTCGGAGGTGCCTTGATGGCAGAGAATAATAAATGGCGTGCAGGAGATAAGGAAAGGCTCAGGGCTGGCCACCAAGGAGGGGTGGTTTCAGTTCAGCAAACAGGCTAAGACGGAAACAAAACAAACTCTGGTTTTGGCCAGCCCCCCACTCATTGCCTGACCTATGTTTAGCAATTCTGATGTGTTACTGAGCAGACAGCTCAAGCTTGCAATGAGTAATCTCCCTTAGTCCCTCTTCAGCAGGCAATGAAAGCAGCCTCCACTTTGAAAATTCTTCCCCCATCATGCAAGCTGACACAGGCATGCTTTTCAAAAACCCACAGCCAATCTGTTGATCATTACTTATTTACAAAGGCCTTCGGGCAGAAAGTCCTGTAAAAACCATACTTGATACGGTATACACTAGCTTTTTCAGCTTGTGGAAGGAGGGGGAAAAAGTCCCCCTAAGGCTACCTCAAACCATCACTTTCTATTGCACATAAAATGTACCGTGTAACACTAAAGTATTTAATATATATGGTATAATATATCTACAGGAAAGGCATTTGTGTAGAAGTGTGTTAGCCTGTATTTGGTAATTTGATGTTTTGCTGAAGGCGATGACTTGAAAAAGCCTGCACCTAGTGCCGAGGACCTGTCATCTCAGTACCCAAGAGCCAGTAGAATAAAGAAGTACCCTAAAGCAGCAAAACTTTGACACAGCTTTGAAGCATATGAAAACAGTATAACTCTCCAGAATTATTATGACTCAAGATCAAAGAAATGAGGCATACTTTACATAGCAAACAGGGACAGTGCACTTCGCTCCAAATGTTGCTGTGCTCCCTTCCCTCTGACTGTCTCTCTTCCCATTTCTTTTATTTCACTTCTTTTACACTATATTTATCCGATGATAGGAAGGGGGGAGCAGAGGGAACTCCCATTTCCCTTCCTGTTAAATTTCAAGTAGATAAAAATTAGTAGAGATGAGATGACACAAAGAACAGCAAATTGCAAATGATGGGCGAAACAACAAACACTGAGGAGAGTGATTGTGCGCTCATTTGATTCTACTCTCTCACCTCTTCCCCATAAACAACCCTTCAAATCAGTACTGCATTGATAAGGATTGCGGAACTTTTTGAAGAAGATGTTTTCATCAACACAAGGTCAACAAGGGGCTAAAAACAAAAGTCACCGTTAGGTGCACTCCTCCTTTGTGAATCAACCCTGGCAGTTCTCAATTCCAGCGCAAACTGCCTGGAGATACAATCATGCCCTCAGATGTGCCTTAGACTGCAGAAGCTATGAAACGGAACGGGCATTTCTTTAAGTAGCATTTGAAACTCTGATTCAAGGGACTGAAAGGTTCATACAGATTTATTCAGAAATACTGATCATTGCCACTAAAGTGAGATGATAGTAAAGCTACGTATCATAGTATGTATTGTTTGAAAATACATCTTCCTGCCCCTCTGTTGATTTACACGTGCCACCTTGGATCTAAATTACTCTTAATTTCTATCCATAATCTTGCCATTATACACAGAAGAAAATGTACTGGGGGCCAGATAAGAGATACAAACCTTTTCTTTTCTCTTAGTTTTGCACATGAGGATGTGAAAGAGCAAATTCTTCCTATCCTGTTCAGGTATTTTGTAGCACATGCGTTAAGAGAAGTCAATGTGAATAAGAATCTCTTTTTTTTACACAGATTATGCAAAAATGCATAAAATAACACTTTAACATAAGTACCACTCTGAAAGAAGTAAAAATAATTGTGTAAAGTGACAATAGCTGTTGTTTTGCTTCATTGGCTTTTAAGGACAAGATGTGTTGGAGGGGCATTCTCCTCTTTTTAAACAATTACCAGCATTGCTATGAAGATGTGCTTTGTTTCCCAAAGGTAAAGGACAAAAGTTTTGCACAGAGAAGCTTTGAACAAATTACAGAAACCTAGACAAGAATAAACAGCACTCTGTTTCTTGCTCACCTGAAGGCGAATAATTTCATGGGGCTTGAAATTTACCCACTGAGATGTCTCATCAAGACAGCCCATATCAAGAAGAACAAAGGAATGAGCAACTACTCTAGACATTCCTAATCCTGACCCAACATTTTTCCCAACAGCGCGCATGATGTTGTCACTGCACTGTCGCAACATTATTTGAAGTGCTGCCGTGATTTATTTACATATTTGACTTATACAATATTCTGTCTTTCTTCTAGGACTGGGAATCAAGGTGGTTCGCAACCAGATTAAAAGAGGTTTCTAAAAAAGATACAGGTGCAAACAGATTAAAAACTGGCAAAAAATAAACACAAAATTATAATGCTAAGATGTTTGCACTCAATATGCATTCACGTAGTGGCACTGCAAGTGGGTAAAACAATGTGTAAAAAAGCTGCAAAATTAACTTATTTAGGGGATTCAAGAGAAAGAAAAGTACCATCTCTAAAACAGCCTATCTTGACACTTCAGTGGGATCTCCTGTACAGAGTGTCCACCAGAATTTCATCCAACGTGAAAACGAAAGTGAAGTCTGTGGGATGTCAAACAAAAAGGCTGCAAAAATTTCTTGTTAATGGGTTTCCTCTACTGTATTTTGCCTAAAGGTTACATTTAGTCAAGTCATGTCCGACTCTAGGGTGCGGTGCTCATCCCCGTTTCCAAGGCATAGAACCAGCATTTGTCCGAAGACAGTTTCCACGGTCACATGGCCAGCGCGACTAGACACAGAACACCGTTACCTTCCCACCGAGGTGGTACCTATTTATCTACTCGCATTTTTACATGCTTTTGAACTGCTAGGTTGGCAGGAGCTGGGACAAGTGATGGGAGCTCACTCCGTCACAGGGGTTCAATCTTACAACTGCAGGTCTTCTGACCTTGCAGCACAGAGGCTTCTGCGGTTTAACCTGCAGCGCCACCACATCCCTATTAATTTGCCTAAAAGAAAAGCCAAAATTTGGAAATTCTTACCAGAATAAATACCTAAGGAACAAAGTGTTGTAATAGCCTAAGTGAATTGAAGTTTTTAAACTCAATCCCATTCCCATGTAAATTTCAGCAAACAGTATAAGGTCTGTCTCACCCTATCAGCCCTAGAAAACGTTTGCTCAGGAATTCCCCCATAGAAATTATTATAAGAGAACTCTACTGGAAACAAATACTGCACACCTGAACATATGAAAGGGTCATTAGCAACCTGGTATGTTTTCATCTCCGGTATTCAAAATAACAACAATCTTTTAGAAAAATCCTCATATTTTGTAATTAATAGAGCTTTTAGTCTCAACAGTACTGCACTTGTTCTGAACTTTGTGAGGCCGTTAAAAATATAATTCAAAATCAATTAGGAGAAATTTTATTTCAATCGACAGAGTAAAAGGAAGGTAATATACAGGTTCATTTTTGATTGTGACGATACATCTCACATATGGCCTTAAGTACAGAAAACAGTACTCAGAAGGATCCCGACAAAAAGCGAATTGCCCAAGGCAAACTAACCACATGAGTTCTTCTGATTGGTTAGTGCTATCATTAGTGCCACTGCTGTTTAAGAACTACACATGGACAGGACAGGGTGACAGCTAAGACTTTAAAGCCTATGTGTTTTTCAAACAGCTTTTCAAACTGTTTTTCATGACAGGTTTTTTTTCCAGCTCTATCATTAACTGCTGACAAGCTGACAGAGTAAATACTTCAATCTTTCAGAAACCATCTAACAATCTTCTCCTTTTCCCCACATCCCTGCCAACAGCCCCCCTCCACCTCATTTTTATTTATTTATTATTGGGGGAGGAGGTTAGATTAGGAGGGGAGATAAAGATATGAATTGCTTACCTCATCAGCTTGGGTGACGAATTGGGTGAATTTCTCATGCCTCCATTTCGCTGCTTCTTTTTGGGAGACAGCATCGTCGGCTGCTCGTCTTCAACTGGAAATACAGGCAGCTCATGAGGTTTTGTTCAGCACAAATTGTCACACCGAATACAGGTGGAATAGCCAAGAAGACACACACACTCAATTCCATTCATGCACTGAACTTTCATGGCTATCTTATTCAAGTTTAATAAAGACCAAGCTGATGTTAGTCAAAAGAGATCAATTGGAAAGCTGATGAGGAAGAAAAGGAGGAGGAGGAAAGGAAAGCAAATTCTGATTGACTTGAAGATATTCTGGACATGATTTCATACTTTTGTGAAAGATAATGTCAAGTTAAGCTGTGTTTCTGGAAACAGAAATTAGTATCCTGCGGCATAAACCAGAAGATTTAACATATTTAGAATCCAAACACTGAACGCTGCCAGCCTGCACTTTGCTAATGAAACTGATAAACTGATACTTCTTAAATGCCAGAGCACAGACTGTTCATGAAGGCATGTACAACATCCATTGCCTACGTAATCAGTGATGCAATAAATGAAAACTATGCCACTGTGCACTGATCTCCAGCAAACCTAAGTACTCATTGCTCCACCTGTTATCATGAAAGGGATGTTATCACAGGAACAAGCAGAATGGATTCATGGGACAGGAGAGCCTCCTGTATAACAAAGGATGGGAATTGTGAGAGAGACTCTTTAATGGGGATGAAGTACATTTTAAGAACAACAACACTGTCTTAAAACAAAACAAAACAACTGTTAGGATCATTATAAATAGTACAGACTTTTGCTGAACTCTGCATCATAGCTTTCTTTAACTTAGGCTAGTTCTTAACTACATATGTTTTCTAAAAACCTGTGAGTTTGCATTTCATTCCTAATAATGTTGAAGGCTCTATCGTTTGTGCATAATTAACTGTTTAGTTCTCTGCCTGTTGATGCTCAAAATCCTGTTCAGTAAAGTATGCCTGTGAAAGGGTGATGGTGTTGCCAGCAGGGGGAGATTGCTGATACAGTAATCAAAAGATTTCTGCTTAGATGTTGGGACTCACCCAGCTTGTTGGCAACTTGCCTATAATTAGTAAGCAACACCTATGACATAGGCCTTCACATGTACTACCAACAGGGTAAGAAAGTGGGATTTATTTGGAAGGAAGGAAGGAAGGAAGGAAGGAAGGAAGGAAGGAAGGAAGGAAGGAAGGAAGGA